CGCCCCGCGCCTCCTGGACCGCGGTGCGCGGGCGACCAACCGACGCACCCACCTGACGCACCCACCCGCGTGACCCCTCCGCGCCCTGAACCCTCCCCCCAGCGGCGACGGCGCCGACATGGTGAAGTGCCTGCGCTGCCCGGTGTCCTACCACACGCCCGCCTGCACGCCGCACAACGTCCAGCGCGTCCCCGGCTGCGTCAAGGGCGTCCTCTGCTCCCGCTGCCGCACGGTGCCACCCAAGAAGTACGTGATGCCGCCCAAGGACCTCGAGCCGGAGGGGCGGAACCGGCGGCAAAAGCGAGGCACGCGCGCGCAGTGGCCCGCCGCGCAGGCCGCCGCCGAGGGCGACGGCACAGGCGCAGGCGCAGCGGGGCCACGCCGGCTCGGCAGGCACTGCGGGCGCTGCTACTGGCGGACGGCGGCGGCGCAGGGCCGCGGATCCCGCCTGCGCTGCTGGTGCACGTGACGCCGCTGCAGCAGCAGCAACAACAACAGCACCACCACCACCACCACCTGGCGGGGCTGCAGTTTCCGCTCTTACAGTTCGCGTCGAGGCACACAGAACCATCATGGATGCCCGTCGGCGGCCGCGGTGCAGCAGCGCTTGCACTGGGCAGCGCCACTGACGACGTCGCAGCGCGCCCGCAAGGGGGCGCGGGGAGGGGCAGGGTTTGCCTTTCTGTCGCGCCCCTGGATTCCAGTATGGGCTGCGAATCAAAGGCCGCATTGACCTCATCAGCAGGGGCTAGCTACCGCGCAGCTGAGGTCGGGCGGCTTGGTACGGCACCGCCTCACCTGCGCATCTCCACCCTTGCCATCCCGGAACACCGCCGGTCGCGAGCTGATGCGCCGCTTGCGCATGCAGAGTTCCCTACAAGACTCCGGCGCGCGCGGCAGGTTGCAGCAGTGGATCAATCAGCAGCAGAGGCAGGCAGCAGCAGCGAAGGGGCGGTTGGGAGCGGCCGGCACGTGCGCTCAGAGAGAGAGAGAGACAGCTGCGCATGGCGAGGAGGCGCCGCGCGGCAGGTTGCAGCGGCGGCGGGAAGCAGCGGGCTGGTGGTTTGGAGCAGCGGACGCGTGCGCACAGATCGGCGTGTGGCGCAGGTGGTGTTTTTTTTCGAGGTGGTTGCCTCAAAGATTGGACTGTAAAGCCCACATTGTGTGTTACCATGTTGGTTCTGGGCGGGCTAGCCGACACAGACCTGTGGGGGGTGCCTGCTAGTGGCGCTCAGGCTACGGCTGTGGGGGGTGCATCAAGAGGGCAGACAGGCCGGCGGTAGAAATTGCAAAGGAACAGCATGGACAAATAATTTTATGAAGAAGTAATTTTTCAATTTTGAAGATCCATCACGGTAAAGTGCCTGCAGTGGGCCACAACCATGGGGGCACAGCAACACAGACAAGAGGCAGGAAGCAATGCGGGCCCAGCGGCTTCGTGGAACCGAGGGCTCTCCGCGGGGCAATGCGATAGGCAAGCGGAACCGTATCGGCAGCTGTTATGAAAGGCGTGTTTCCCAGAGTGAGGGCCCAAGATGCGCAGCCTACTCCTGGTATCTCTGTGACTTGTTGTACATGCTGTCAATCACGATGCAGGCCGCCGCCACAAACGCCGCATCCGCGCCCGCCTCCAGCAGCACGTCGTACGTGCTCGAATTGTCTGAGGACGCCGCCACGCTGCCGCGCTGCGACAGCGGCATCTGCCGCCGCTCTGCTGCCGCCACGGCCACCTCGCCGCCGCAGGGCAGCTTCCTGCTGACCTGGAAGCTGGTGGCGCCGAGCTCTCCGCGGATCTTGAAGGCGCTGGCGCCCCGGGAGCCTTTGAGGGTGATGCTCACGCCTGGCAAGTGGGACAGCAGGAGATCGGGAGGGTCGGAGCGGGGCTCGTCGGTGTTTGATCGAAAAGGCACAGTGCAGGGGAAGCGGCACACAGCGTCCGTGAGCAGGTCGAGCATAGGCTAGCATGCGTGTGTTTGTGTGCGTGCGTGTGCGCGTGTGTGTGCATGTGCGCATGTGTGTGCATGTGAGGGACTGCAATGATGCCCCGCCCACCTGGCTCAGCAGCCAAGAAATGGCCCACAAAGGTAGCCAGCCGGTTCCCCTCGTCCAGGTGGCCCCCGCGGTACAGAGGCCAGGTGCGCCGAAAGCGTCCGAGCACAAGCCCCATGCACGCAATGGCCTTGCCACGGCTGTCGAGCAGCACGCGCTTCTGGCGGGCGCTGTAAGGGCGACCCTCCTGCCTGTACGTGCGCGCAGCAAGA